TGGCAGGAGAAGTTAACCCAGACAGCCAGTGCTGGGGGGTCAGTTTACACCCCATGGGATCAGGCATAAGGGCTGGACATGATGGCATCACCTGCCCCACATCCCTGGTGATGGGATGGCCACATTTTCATGGGCACATCCCTGCAGCCACTCAGGCTTTGTCTGGTCGCAGTGATACAGATCCAGTGTGGCCACTGCTTTGGGTAGACGTTAACACACCTTCTTCAGGACCTCCAGGTGGTGGTGGTGGATGTGGACGGAGCATTTCTGCACCCCTCCATGCCCTTGCTGGGCTTCTGGGATCCTCATTTGGCACAGTCCTGCCTGGCATGTCCCAGCCTCCCCAGCTAAGGTGCGCAGGCCAGACACGAAGGGGTTCCCCTTGATTTGGCTGAACCCTGTGAGAAGCACCTGCACCCTCTGAGCTTCTCCTTCACCCCCCATACAGCCTTGCAGGGCAAAAAGCTACCGGAGGTGGGATGGGGTGAGGCAGAGCAGACTGACCTGTGCAGGCATAAAGGCAGCAGGTCAGCAGGACGCATGCCACGAAGCAGCCCATCGAGCCGGCCATTCCCAGCCAACACGACCACCCGAAGTCGTAGTGGACTCCCAGGAATATGTTGTGAGACATCAGCATGGCCCTCTCCACGTAGACATCCACTGCGTACCACACGGAGCCCACAAGACCCAGGATGCCTAGGAGGAACGGGGCTGGTTGAGCATGAGCCATACAACCCCCCCACGCTTCCCAAGACTCCTCCGAAGGAGTGCCCCTAGCTCTTGGCAGCCGCCCCGCTCCCCGTGGGACACAAGGAGCTGCCTCCGAGCTCTTCCAGCCACGTACTTCCAATGCCAAGGATGACACCGGCCCCGTAGCACATCTTCAGTTTGACCCGAGGATCTTCCTTGAGGAACTTGATGCAGTCAAGCCCAAGGAGCAATGTAGCCAAAGCCAGGCCAGCCAGGAGGTCTGCTGTGATCAGCAGGGTCCGCGTCACCACGATCTTCACTGGGCAGGGAAGGAAAAAAAAAAACAGAGACAGGACTGAGGAATGGTAAGAGGAACTGGTCTCCCCACTCCAGGTTGTGGCCTGTGTCCCTGCTAGTCATCCAGCTCACCAATGGGCATGTCCATAGGAAATGTCTTCACTGGGACCTACCAAGCCCCTGCCTGCCACGTGCCATAGGCAAGGTGCTCACCAGGCTCCTCAGAAACCTTCCAATGGGACTTAATAACCCTGATGTTAGACCAGCTCAAGAAACCAGACCACTTCAGGTTGCACCAGTCAGCACCCGGGATGTGGTCACCTACTCAAGACCTTCTTGCACAGGCTCGGACAGAAGATGCTGCTGTCCAGGCTGTCTGTGTTCCCTCCGAGCTGTGTAGCTGGTGTTTTGAACAGCACATGTCGACATACTGGTGGAAAATACGAGCGCTGGTGCAGGTCACGTCCCCAGCTCTGTGCAATGGGACTTCTCCCGCAAAGCTTTTTCTCCAGAGCAGCACAACAGCCTGAATTAGTCCGTGCTGATCTATCCCCTCCTCCGCTGCTCGAATCTGTGTTGTCCCATGTCATCGCTCTATATAGGACAAGGGTTCTTCTGTGCAGGGCCTGGTGTGCCCCATGCAGGTCAGGAGAAGTCTCCATACCACAATATGCCTGTCCATGAGCTAAGGACACAAGTCCTCGGCCAGTGGGAATCATAGAAAATGGTTTGGGTTGGAAGGGACCTCAAAGATCATCCAGTTCCAACCCCCCTGCCATGGGCAGGGACACCCTCCACTACACCAGGTTGGCCAAAGCCTCATCCAACCTGGCCTTGAACACTTCCAGGGATGGGGCAGCCACAGCTTCTCTGGGCAACCTGTGCCAGTGCCTCACCACCCTCAGAGGGAAGAATTTCTTCCTCAGATCTAATGCTTCTCACCCCTGCACGCAACATCAATGGGATTGCAGATCCCACTGTGTAACGAAGGGCAGGAGCTGTGCCTGGGCTTTGTGTGCAAAACACCTTCGTTGAGAGGTGGCACAGCTTCATGGCCTCTTTCCTGCTTGGTGGCCCCATGGCAGCTCTGGCTGAACCATGGCTTGCTGTCTAGGCTGCGCTAATGGGGCAGGAGACCAAGAGAAGCCCTGGGCCTGCATTGCTAACTGATGAAGGTCAGCCCTCTGCCATGAGGATCATCTTCTCGAAAAGGGAAGCGGGAGAAGTCTCAGCTGTGAACTTAAAGAATGCCTCCAGGCCATGCCAGCTTACCTGGATGGTCAGCCAAAATGGAGTCATACTGGTCGCAGGTCCTGACCCCATCCTGCATGTTGGTGACGCACTCCCTCCAAAGCCCCCGGCACTTGTGGCTTACCTAGAAGGAGGAGAAAGACTCCAGCAAAAAAGCACTGAAAAGCGCCGCAGCTCTCCAAGGATATCCCAGCCCAGCAAGGCAGATCTTCGGGCTCTTCCCACCACAGCTGGACACGTCCTGCTGACTCCCTACCCATGCCTTGCTCTCTGTCTCCTCCTTCTGCTCCAACGTTTCCCGTTCTCTCTAATCTTTCAATCCTCCAGCTCATGCAGAAAGCAAAGGATTTGTCCCACCGCGTCACCTTTCCAGGCCCATGGATACACAGTGCAACCCCATGGATGTCAAGGCACCCACTTTGCTCCCACCTTGAAGGTGGTTGCTCTGCTCACCTCCAAGCTGTCATCGGCGTTCACCATCCAGCAGTCAGTGCATGTGGCAAGGAGCAGGAAGAGGGTTGAGAGAAGAGCAAGACCGAACGCCGTCATCTGCAAGGCTGTGCTCATGGGGCCACCTGCAAAAGCACAGAGATGTCTGCCATCTCTGCTCTGGCTGCTTCCCAGGTACCTGACCCACCAAGGACAAAATGCCACTGAGGCCACAGTGTCGTCTGGATCCCTATGAGTCACCTGGGTCCCATCTAGTGGTCCTCAGTGCTGCCAAAATGTTCTAACACCCTCAGCTGAGGTTGGGCCACCAGGTTTGCACGTAGACAGGGCCTTCAGAGCTAAGTTAATTTTGCAGTGGAGACACACCTGTATCAGGTTGCTCTCTAGATGTCTTCTCTTCCAAATAGACCATCTGACATCACCAACCATTAGTACTTGCCCTTTGGGAATCAAGAGCTGCAGGAAAACATTGTCAGACAACTACTGTTGCCACAGGCTGTGGTCTGAGCGTGGGTATCCTGAGGTTTTCTTGATGCCTCCATCCCCTCATCTGTGTGATTCAGTGGGACGATCACCTGCCTTTTCTTGCTTTTTTTTTTTCTAAAGAAAAGCAATGAAGTGTTGAAACATCCAGGGTGGAGCACAAGGAAGGGTCCCATGGAGACGTCCTAATCTCAAGTGGCAAGCCCAAAGAAAGCATCTCCCATTACGGAGGTGATGGTGCCCTTGGGTGCTGCTGAGGCTTTCCAAAGACCGGAGGGGATGAGACCATCTGTTTTCCATCCTTGCCAGAGATGGAGGGACTTTGCGGAGAGGGGAGCTGTGCCCAAGGTACGGAGCAGAGAACATTGTATTTCCACAGCCGGCCGTGAATCCCACTTTGCTGTGTTTTGCAACTCAAGATGCTGAATGTTTTAGTGCCGGATGTTGCAACCACCGCGACAGCCCTTTGGGCAGAGGGGCTCCCATGAGTGCATTATTTAATGAGACCGGATGGGTCTCTGAGCTGCGTGGGTTAATCATAGAATCATAGAATGGTTTGGGCTGGAAAGGACCTTCAGAGATCATCCAGTTCCAACCCCCCTGCCATGGGCAGGGACACCTTCCACTACACCAGGTTGCCCAAAGCCTCATCCAACCTGGCCTTGAACACTGCCAGGGATGGGGCAGCCACAGCTTCTCTGGGCAACCTGTGCCAGTGCCTCACCACCCTCAGAGGGAAGAATTTCTTCCTCAGATCCCATCGAAATCTCCCCTCTTCCAGTTTAAAGCCATTGCCCCGTGTCCTGTCACTCCACGCCCTTGTCCAAAGCCCCTCTCCAGCTTTCCTGTAGCCCCTTTAGATACTGGGAGGTGCTGTAAGGTCTCCCCGGAGCCTTCTCTTCTCCAGGTGATGACTCTTCACCATGGCAGTGTTTGTGACCTTCAGCCAGGTGCTGCCCACTCTGGCACATCATAGTCTTCCCCGCGGGGCCGAGGTGGGAAGGAGGATCACAGTTCACACACCTCGTGTGCAGGGTCTCCCACCACACCACATCCTCTCCTGGGACGTTGCTGGGAGCGGAGGTGCCACTCACCCTGTCCTTTGGGCATTTCCATCAGGTTCACGCTGAGCACGTATGTTATTAACAGGCAGCCTCTTAGACCCCAATTTACAATGTTTTTTTAATTTCCCAGGCTCCCTTCTGAGCTAACTCCGTGACCTTATTTTTTTTCCCACTAGATTCTGGCTGTTTTGGTGCCTTTGAAGAAAATCGGTTCAGCCATTTTAGTTATACGAGCAAGGAAAAAAAAAAAAGAAAATAAAAAAAGAGATCCTTAACCCTAGCAAAAACCATCTCAGGACCCTGTTCGCAATAAAAAGGGGCTCGAGGAGGTTGGGGGGTGCGTTACCTTCACCTCAGGCTCATCCCAGCTGGGGTGGGACGATGGAAAAGCTCTTTGTTGCCGACGGCTGAGGCTGGGGATGTGGATCCTGAAGCCTTTCAGGCGCCGATGGGATGTGATCCTCACCCACCTGCTGGATTCCAGGAAATGCAGCGCCTGCCGGCGCCCGCGCTGGGCTATTTAAGGGTTTTCCAAGGCCCGTCGGATGGGCTCTGCGCCCCGCCGAGTGATGGGCATCCCTGCGGTTAAGATGGTAAGAGGTGGGAAACAGCCTCCCGAAAAAATGTCACGTGGGGGAACCTGGGGGAACCTGCTGAGAACACGCGGCAGGTGGGGAACTCTGTGTCCTGGGCAAACAAACCCCCTCCTTTAATTAGACCTTTTAATTACTGCCTGAGCTTGAGTGGCCTGAGACGTGTTGGGACCTCAGGACTGGTGAAAGAGAATCCGAGGGGTGGAAGTGGCTGGAGAAAGAAGATAAAATGCAAGGAGGGTAATTAAAACCCTTTGGCCAGCTTTGCAGCCAATAATCAAGACAATAATTAGTTTTTCTTCCTCCTCTCCTCTTCCACAGAAAACAAGTGGTAACCACCGCCGTGGTGGTGGCTCAGACAACGTGTCCACTCAGCCCCCAAGGAGGTTTTTGTGACCCGGGAAAGTGGTGGCCCAACTGCCTGGCGCTTGGAGCCGCCCTGAAAACTGCAGGTTTGTTCTCTGAGCCCAGACTAGCGGGGAAAAAAAGTCGATTTTCTCTCACTTCCTTGCAAAGCATCGTGTTGCGGCATCCTCGGAGCGTCCCTGGCACCGGCCGTGCCCCCTGGCGCTCAGACATCACGACACCCTCATCTCCAAGACCCGTGGAAAACACCATTTCCATTCCGTGGGTTGTGTTTGAGAGATGCACTTGGGTTTTTTAGGTTTGGTTTGGGTTTTGTGTTGGGTTTTTTGTTTTTTTTTTTCTCTACATAATCCTCTATGGCATTGGACTGGGGGGGTTTTGGCACCGCGCCGGGGTCTTGGCAAATCCTTGAGCTCCAGCCCCGTGGTGGCACCCGGGTGCCTGACGTGTGCGGTTGCTGTGGCTTTTATTTTGGATTATCCTGTTTTCCCTGGGATTTTGGCACACGGCAGGTCCAACACTCGGGCATGTAACAGTGAATTAGTGCTGAAAACATCCAAAAGGGTTTGTGCACCTTCATTTTCCAACATTTACAGCTCAGGAATTTACGGTACTCAGACATCCGTGGTGCAGGTAAAACTGGAGCTGTGGTATGAAACTGCAGCTGTGTGTTCTAACAACACCTAGAAAATAGGTTTATTTTTATTTTCTGCTCGTCTAAACAGCCAGTTTATTATATATGAAACGACTCTGCCTCGTCGAGTCTCAACCGAAACCTTTTGGGGGGTTGAAAAGACGCAGGCGGAGAGGTGGATCTATCAGTCGTGGAATAATTAAGACCATTTCCCTGGTTAATGAAGGTGAAAATCAGATCTTGGTTCTACTGGGTTTGTAAAACTTATTTGTTAAAAAAAAACCCCACGGTGCTGACAGAAGACCCAACTCTTTGTGTTTTGACACACATTGTGCAGGATAAAACTGCAATGGCTGGGAGGGAAGAAAAAAAAATCAAGATGTTTTCTTTGGTGGGAGCACCTCATAGAGGTGACGAGGACTCTGTGGATGCTGGTGGGGCAGGCCAAGGAATAAAAGTGAGTAAAAATTACTGAAAATGAATAAAAAGACCATTGAACAAAACCAGTCATGTCTCAGAGGCGTGAGAAGAGCCCCTCTGCGTGCGGGGCGGCTGCGGGCCCCCGGCCAGGCAGACGCCTGCCGCAGAAACATCCTCGTGGTGAGTATAATGAGGGGTGTGGAAATGTGGGTTTAAATTATTTTGGGTTGCTTTGGTGGTTGGTTGTTTTTTTTTTTTTTTTCTGAAAAAAAAAAAGGTGTTTGTTCTTTTTTCTTCTCTATAATTCACATGGAATTTCAGTGCTGTGGAGATGCGGTGAGATTTACGGCGCTCTTGGCATCTGGGGGTCGTTTTCCCTTTTCCCAATTTGTGCCCATTTAAAAATTAGCATTATTTCACAGGGCTTTGGGTGCAGGAGAGAGGTATGACCCGAAGCCTAAATATTGTTCATCATACTGGTTTTATTAAATAAAAGAAGTGTGTTGGGGCGGGGGGGGACACATGTTTTAGCTTGACATGACGTGGCCGGAGGCAGATCCCATGTACCGCAGCGACCCGGCCTCCCATTCCCGTATTTCATCCCGCCTTGCCCTCTGCAAAACACACGACAGATTGTCCAGAGGACACTGGGGGCCTTTATACCCCCAAACATGTTATCGCTGCTCAGCTATTTTCCCACCCCCGGCCGCCTTTGTTGTGCTTCCAGCCCGGGGGGGCTGTCCCCAAAGGAGCCCTTGGGTGACCCATGGAGATGTCACGGGAGCCACCAAGGGCCCCAAATCCCTGCTCTTGGAGATGGGATGGAGTGTGTTTGTGGACCAGGTGCTGCGGGCAGGACAAGGATGCTGAGATATCGCCCGTGTCCTGGGCTGCACCCAAAGCAGCGTGGGCAGCAGGTCAAGGGAGGGGATTCTGCCCCTCTGCTCTGCTCTCCTGAGACCCCCCTGCAGTGCTGCCTTCAGCTCTGGGGCCCCCAACATCAGAAGGACATGGAGCTGCTGGAGCGAGTCCAGAGGAGGCCACGAAGATGATGCGAGGGCTGGAGCACCTCTGCTCTGGAGACAGGCTGAGAGAGTTGGGGCTGTTCAGCCTGGGGAAGAGAAGGGTCCCGGG